ACAACAACAACAACAAGCGCAACAACCGAGGCAACAAATTAATGCGCAGCAACAACGACCAGCTAAATCAGAGGTTGTAAAGGACGAATACGCCGGTTTGATGACAAACCGAGAAAAACAATGGCTCCTAAACATCCAATTATTACAATTAAACACGGGAACTCCATATTTCGACGATTACTATTACACCGTTTATAAAAGTCGGAATAAAAATAAAAGCGAAAACAAAACGAACCAAGAAAATAAAAGCAATTATTACCAATATCAACAAAACAATAACAACAACATGAATAATAAACGAGGTGGAGGTGGTAATAATCACCACAATAACTCGAGGGAACGTCACGACTCAACAAGCAGTGGAAGTTCGATTCTTCAAGCTCGAGTTTACACCCCTTTGCAGTTTGAAAATTCCCTTGGGAAATTACAATGCGGATCGGTTACCGCTCCAAGAAAAATCATCGATACCGATGTTGTTACGTTAGATAACGGCCAAGACGCGAATAACTCCACAATTCAAACGAACGCGAAAGATACGAGAAAAACGAAGCAAGTTCTTTTAGAAATCGAAGCTTTTTACGCTTTGTTATTAAAAATGGAGGATTTACGCAATCCCGTCGCGATAACGAACACGGAAAAATTGAGAGAGTTGAAACAAAAACAACGATTGAGGGAGTTAGAAGCCGCGCAAACTCCGGAACAAAAACAAGAAGTCTTTAAATTGTTGCAGAAAGAAAGTGTCCCTGTTGAAGAGAATCCCAATGATTATTTGATGAAATTAGTCACCGGATTGAGTCAAGATGATAAATTCATTGCGTTTTTTAGTGTGAGGAAAGGCAAAGGGTTATTGTTGAGAGTTTTACCATATTTAACGCAAGAAACTTATTCGAGTCACTTATTGGATTTGTGGATTAAAATTTTATTGAGCATTCCTATAATCGGGAGGAGAGACGCGATCGGGGATAACATGTTGCCCAAATTACATCCATTTTTTAAACGGTATTTTTAATTTAACCGATTTAATTTAAATTAATTGTTTTTATTTTAGATACGTTCAAATGTGTACTATGTCCGATATCGTCGATATTATTGCGAGCATTTCCGAAACTGTTAAACAAGACCAAAACAGTCGTAGTACGCCGTTACATCATCAGGGGAAAGCTCCTTTATACTTTATAATTGGAAATAAGGTAATTTATTCATTAAGGTATATATCAAGAATCATCATGTCGCGTAAAAATCGACTATTTTTCTTTTTTAATCGATGGGAAATCACTCAAATTAGAGGTTATAAATAAAAAAAAGTGCGGAAAAGTGTAAAACTTACCGAAAAATCACTTTAATAAGTTTAAACGTCAATGTGACACAAATTCAATGTTGCCAACTGTAACCAACTTCACAACAATATGTCAAAATTAAATCTCAATTTCATGAAACGTCATGTTTTTTTACGAAAATTAATTTATTCTTAAATCATAAACAAAAACACATTTCCCAGCAGTTTTAAACTAACACGGCCGTTTTCGAAGACATCGGCCGCCCCCGAGAACACGAAATCTTCATTCTCACAAATTCGAATAGAGATCCAACTCGAGGTTTTCAATGTTTTAGCGCCCGCGGTGGCCGGGGGCGGCCGATGTCTTCGAAAACGGCCGTGTTTGTACTCGAAAATGATGTTGAAAATTCTTAATCACGCTTTTCCAACACAACCTAACCTCACTTTTTCAAATGACATTTTTTTGACGTTTCATTAAAAAAATTTATTTAACTCGCCCAGTTTTTGAGATAAAACTAAAAAGAAATTTGCGTCATAGAACCTCGTTTCAGTGACTCGTACACGTTTTGCGTTATAAAGAAAATCAAATAGTAATTCGTGTTTCTAAATTAGGTTAAAATATTTGACATGATGAGAAGATAGTTACAAACGTATTTTTTTAGACTTTTTGCGACAGATGGCACTATCTCCTATGCGCCTATCAAGTGTCATTTATTGACGTTTCATTAAAAAAAATTTCTTTAAATGATTTTTGTTAGAAATAAAACTAAAACTAGAAATTTTTGAGGTTATGCCGTGCGTCAAAGACTTAAATCTAAATCGACGAGTACTTTGTTACAAAAAATGAACACGGCCGACTTCGAAGACGTCGGCCGCCCCCAAGAACCCGAGGTTCTTTAATATTGTAACCTCTGGGATGGCCGGGGGCGGCCGATGTCTTCGAAAACGGCCGTGTTGGTACTCGAAAATGATGTTGAAGATTCCTAACCTCACTTTAATAACACAATCTAACCTCACTTTCAAATGACATTTTATTTTGACGTTTTAATAACTCGGCCGACNTTCTTAATATTGTAGCCTCTGGGATGGCCGGGGGCGGCCGATGTCTTCGAAAACGGCCGTGTTGTTACTCGAAAATGATGTTGAAGATTCCTAACCTCACTTTAATAACACAATCTAACCTCACTTTCAAATGACATGTTATTTTGACGTTTTAATGAAAAATAAAATGTATTCAACTCATTTTGCGTTAGAAATAAAACTAAAACTAGAAATTTTGAGGTTATGCCGTGCGTCAAAGACTTAAATCTAAATCGACGAGTACTTTGTTACAAATAGTGAACTCGGCCGACTTCGAAGACGTCGGCCGCCCAGTATTTAAAGTTTTCACTTTAAATACTTTAATATATAGGGTGTCTCACGTAACTGGTTCCTTAGAACTTTTTTAGGTTCCAGTTCATTCAAAAAACCTCTAAATTGGCACGTTTGCTCTTCAGATGCTCTCAAATAGATTATCATATATTGTATCAGAGTATCTTATACAGGGTGGTCAAAAATTGAATTACCGTTTCTTCATATTCAATGGGGAGAAAGTCAAAAATTTTAAATGGAACGCCCCATATTTTATTAGCCTACATGAACGGGAAGTTAATTCTCTACAATTTATCTATAAACATTCCTATACCTATTTATTGTAGTTTCTCTCATATTCGTAAATTTATAGAAACATGCAGAAAACCGTTTGTATTTTTATTAGAAGGCCATGATGACATTTTGACAGTTTTTTGTTTAATTTATTTCTATTATTATTTATACTATTAATTACCAATCTTTTAGTTTAGTAGCTTTTACTTACCAAAAATATCAAACAGAAGATCATATAAATTAAACTTTAAAACAAAAAGTTAATGACAAAAATTAGATTTGAATAAAAATATAAATTTGTTATTAAATTGAATTTGGAAATGCAATAAAACACGATAAAATATTTATTTCGTTGTTTTCATCACTAGTGACCGGAAATATGCGATTTCTTTTGGTCTTGATATATCCAGAACTAAGAAATTCTTTATCAATTTTTTGAAATTTTTGCTTGTGATGGGCGTTACGTTTGTTACGCATCTCTCATTAAGTGTTCGACACGTCCTGTTCAAAAGTTCATTACATCCGCCATCAATACAAAATAAATTTTAAATATCGGCGTTAGAATAATTTACGATGATGTTCAATGATGGACCATGGACATGGACCAAAAACTGTCAAAATTGCATAGCTTTCTAAAAAAAACCTGCATTTCGTGCATGTTTTAATAAATTTCGCAATATGAAGCAAACTACAATAAATAGGTATGGGAATGTTTATAGATAATTTGTAGAGAATTAAATTCTCTTTCTGATAGGCTAAAAAAATATGGAGCTTTCCATTTAAAATTTTCGACTTTCTCACCATTGAATATGGAGAAACAGTAATTCAATTTTTGACCACCCTGTATAAGATACTCCGATACAACAAATGACAATCTATTTAACAACATCTGAAGAGTAATCGTGCCAACGTTGATCTTTTTTGAATGAACGTTGGCTGAGATATGGAGTTTTAAAGAGCATGTTGAAATTTACCAAAAAAAGCTTAACTAATAACTTTTATCAAAGTCAACTTATTTTTTTACATACAATTAAACGGTGTAATAAAAAGTATAGTATTCCATTTAAAATAGCGAAGTTATGGTCTACTTCCGGTAGACCGGAAGTGGCGGCCATCTTGTAAATATTTTAGATCGAAAGTTCCGAATGAACAACCCATGCTACCAAAATTTCAAATCTCTACGAATAGTGGAACCTGAGAAAGTTATAACGAACCAGTTACATGAGACACCCTGTATTTATGTCACTTTAAAACTTACCGAAAAATCACTTTAATATATTTATGTCACGAGCGTAGCGAGAAATTAGCGCAATAAACTTTGGAATAAAGTTTAAACGTCAAAGTAACACAAATTCAATGTTGCCAACTGTAACCAACTTCACAACAATATGCCAAAATTAAATGTCAATTTCATGAAACGTTTTTACGAAAATTGATTTATGCTTAAATCATAAACAAAAATAACACATTTCCCAGCATAGTTTTAAACTAACACGGCCGTTTTCGAAGACATCGGCCGCCCCCGAGAACACGAAATCTTCATTCTCACAAATTCGAGTAGAGATCTAACTCAAGGTTGTCAATGTTTTAGCGCCCGCGATGGCCGGGGGCGGCCGATGTCTTCGAAAACGGCCGTGTTGTTACTCGAAAATGACGTTGAGAATTCTTAATCACACTTTTCCAACACAACCTAACCTCACTTTTTCAAATGACATTTTTTTGACGTTTCATTAAAAAAATTTATTTAACTCACTCAGTTTTAGAGATAAAACTAAAAAGAAATTTGCGTCATAGAAGCTCGTTTTAGTCACTTGTACACGTTTTGTGTTATAAAGGAAATCAAATAGTAATTCGTGTTTATCCTGATTCTAAATTAGGTTAAAATTTTTGATATTATGAGAAGATAGTTACAAACGCATTTTTTTAGACTCGTTCAACAAGTGTCATTTCTTGACGTATCATTAAAAAAAATCTATTTAAGTGATTTTGTGTTAGAAATAAAACTAAAACTGGAAATTTTGAAGTTATGCCATGCGTCAAAGACGATGTTTTAATTTTTAGTCTTATTTGATTTAGCGGTGTGAGGCGGTTCAATGTACTGCAAGATTCTTTGAAATGTGCACGCTTTTTCTCTAAAACTATTTTTGATAATAATTAATAAGACATAATTTGATGATTTTATTTTTTACCATTTGAGGTTATGTTAATATTGTAAATGTCAAATAATTAGGATACGTTCATAAAATCATATGCATAATCAAAATTGCATTCATAAATTTTTAATTTAGATATTCAAAAAATAGTTAAATATGTTTTGTAGATATGTTTCCTAATGGATTTCATTCCAAATTTATTAGTTTCTCTATTATATACCTAAAATGTTGGAAACGTAAAAATGACAATTTTGAATACTAAAATCTATTCTGACTCTAAAACCAATAAAGATGAGGCATAAATTCTTAATCGATTACATTGCAACGGCATTAGTTTTTCTATTACATGCCTAAGACTTAAAAAATTAAGGTTTTTGATGATTCAAATCTGTCATAACCCCTAAAAAAAGAATGATGGGGCAAAATTTTATGAATAAATTTTGTTCATTTTAAATCCTAAAAGATATGTTTCTTAACCAATTTTATTCTAGCTCTATTAGTTTCTCTATTACATACTTAAGAAGCTGAAAACCTAAAAATTAACGATTGTGATGACTAAAATCTGTCGTAATTAAACGTCATTTAAAAAATGTCACTTGAAAAAGTAAGGTTAGGTTGGGTTGAATGGATATTTCGTATCTGTGAGTTTACTTTTTGTGGCTGTTTCAAGCGAAATCGCTTCTTATGAATTGCTAATATGAAAGAAAATCTTCTAGGATGCACTGAATAAGTAAAATAAATTTTTGAATAAAGTTTAAACGTCAATGTGACACAAATTCAATGTTACCAACTGTAACCAACTTCACAACAATTTGTCAAAATTAAATGTCAATTTTGTGAAACGTCATTTTTTTATGAAAATTAATTAATTTATACTTAAATCGTGCTAAAAAATGAATTTGTTTACGTTTTTTTAATGTCAAACATTTAGAAAGACCTAAAAAATTAAATTTAAATTGACGTTTCAAATAATTATTATAAGGGCCGGTCAATATCTAGTTAACACTATTTATCTGTCAAAATGAAACGATTTTTAATTTTTAAAACGATTTAAAATCGTTAATAAATCCTAACAAAAGCCTTACTTCCGGTTTAACCGGAAGTTGATTAATTTTAATCCGAATTAAGTCGAGTTTGGGCTCAAATGAAACGATTTTTGAATCTGAATTTAATTTTAACGATTAATTTGAATTATGAATCCGTCACTTTCAGTTTAACCGGAAGTTCGTTAATTTTAATCCAAATTAAGTCGAATTTGGGCTCGAATGAAACAATTTTTAATTTTTAAATCGATATAAAACCATTAATTCGATAAATTAAAGAAATTTTTATTAAAAATTCGATTTAAAATCGTTAATAAATCGTAACAAAAGCCTTACTTCCGGTTTAACCGGAAGTTAATTAATTTTAATCCGAATTAAGTCGAGTTTGGGCTCAAATGAAGCGATTTTTGATTCTGAATTTAATTTTAACGATTAATTTTTTTTATTTTTAAGCCACATGATGATTCTTGAATATTTTCTTAATAAATTTTGATTAATTGGAACTTATTTTTTAGTTGGGTATTTCAACCGTTGCTATGTTGGTGGTTCGTAC